CTTCCCTGATTTCCTTATCTTTCTATGCTCATTACTCAGCCAGTATACATTTTCTTCCAAAATTGTTTGGCACATGACATTTTTGTAATTGTTTGTAATCTTGAACATTCAGTGTAAGTTTTGTTAGATTCTGTGAGAATTCGTTTTCTTTTTTTACCAGAACTCAAGTTTATCTTTAAAATGGTATGTGCCTGAGTATTGAAGGTTTCTTTGCTCTTCGTACAGTCGTATCTTTTAATAGTACATAGTAAGAACAAACCCATTTTATCAGGTCTTTCAAGATAAACTTATCACTTAATGGTTCTTGGTAAGCAATGCACTTTTAGGGTTTACCTTCCTAATGATAAGACTCATTCTGGCTTCGTCATCAAGAACTCTGAAGGTTAGAGGTGTTGCGAAGAAAGCAATCAATCAAACTGATACAAATAAAGTTTATGATTCCTCTATTACAGTTCACTTGAATGTTCAGATCAGGGATTTTTCCCCGACATCTTTTCCTACATGATTAACAAAATAAAATATATATAGACAGTTATTTTCCCGTCTCGATATTCCAATAATTTCTATTCTCTAAGTGGAGCCACCCCCCCCCCCCCGAACCCGATTTATGCTCGTTCCCATTATCACATTATTACATTATCACTTTCACTGAATGGATACGCGTCTTATATGATTTAAAAAAAGGTGCGGGGTGGTCGAAGGAAACGCGGATTTTTTGTTTACATTTGTCATAAAGAGTTTTTGTTGGTTTGAATTTATAAAAGATATCTCAATCGATTGATCGATCCACCAATTTATTTCAGTAAATGATTGCGTACATTACATATTACATATTATTGCGTTGTTGGTAGAGGTATTTCTGTATGTACACCATCGAAACTGGTGTTCATCTTACAAACAGGTGCAAAGTAATAAAAGACACTGTCTAAAATCATTTTGTATCATCATGCTGGTGAGAAAAATGTTTCAGACATGACTCATTCATCATGATCATTGCCAATAACGCGTTGATTGATGGGTAGAATATGACCCCACGTGACCTTTATGTCACATGACTGCGTCTTACAATCCCTACTCGTTCTTGCCGAGTTAAATATCATGTCCTTTGACAATTGATTTTATTTCAATGATAAGCAAAATAAACCGAAACGCTTCTTTACAGGGATTGCTTTATTACTGTGTATAATGATTGTAAAATTCTGTATGTGCAGCTGAGGTAATTTAGACCAGTGATGCTTGCTTATACGACGCATTCGCTCCATGAAAACAGACGATGTTCTAGGCATCGTGTGTCTGGAACCGATTTCTTGTCTTACTACCTCACATTTAAATAATGTAGAATGAATTCTATTTCCATTCAATCAGAAATAAAGTAAATTTGCTCATTGCCGTCTCTCTTTCTTTCTCTCACTGCTTCCTATCATGATTTTGATATCTGGGGTGTATTTTGTTCAACATGTTGCAGTAATATTTGCACAATCAAGCATTGGCATCGCTCAACAAACGGTAGATGAAATCACATTTGAGGACATATTTATGAAGAGTCTACATTTATATTTGTACTGCGATAAGAGGATGTGAAACGAGATTTATTTAAAGGTGATGTTCATAAATTTAGTGCCGACGATATATGCTTTCCGAATAGCACCGACTATAATGTAGATTGATTTCTATTTTCCATTCAATCAGAAATAAAGTAAATTTGCTCATTGCCTTCTCTCCTTCTTTCACTCACTGCTTCCTATCATGATTTTGATATCTGGGGTGTATTTGTTCAACATGTTCCAGTAATATTTGCACAATCAAGCATTGGCATCGCTCAACAAACGGTAGATGAAATCACATTTGAGGACATATTTATGAAGAGTCTACATTTATATTTGTACTGCGATAGGAGGATGTAAAACGAGATTTATTAAAAGGTGATGTTCATAAATTAAGTGCCGACGATATATGCTTTCCGAATAGCACTGACTATTAGATTTGTCCAAAAACAGGATCGCAATTATGCATCAATTTTTTACAAGACATTTTCTGTCTTGGAATTACAGGCAGTAAGAGAATCAGCTGATGAGATATTTCACAGTCGAGCTTAAGGATTCAAAAGGCTTCGTCTTATTAAAATAATTCATAAATGGAAATACCTCGGCATAGAAGCGAATAAATAAAATCTCCTGCATGAAGCCACATGTGAATTGATGGTCACATGATAATTGACGAACACACATATCGTTGGACAAACTATAACTAAATAAATGAATAAATGATGAAGATTTATATGATTGAAATAACAAATAAGAAAAAGGAATTTGAGGTTAACTTTATGGGAAAAAAAGTTTTGTCGGGGCACATTTCCGTATCCAGCAGAATTGATGTGCTAATATTTGTTGTACTTTCAAGACTGAGGAAAAGCGACGTCGCTTTCAATCACAGTAATGAATTGTTCATAGTCGACGTTGACGAAAAAAATGTTTTTGTGTTAATAGGGCAGGGACATCCAATTTACCCAGTCAATTTCTTACTTTATTAGATGGGCGCGGAAGGTTTGTTATTTTTTATTGAAAATTTGCAGTGAAATGTTATGTTGCAAATACAAGTAATCGTTTGGGTTGTAGCAAATGACTGAAGCCCTGATCATTAAATGTTCATTGAATTGAAATTGAGGGTAATATTACATCGTAGAATTGAGTGATTGTAGTAATAGGACCCTAACGAAATGCTAAAATATAAACGAGGTATGTTCCCGAATATCGGAAACCGCGCATTCTGCAAAGGGTAAGGGGACAATTCAGGAACAAAATACTTTTTTTCATGGTGTCTTTGGGGTCTAAATTTAGCGGTAAGTTCACAAAATTAGGGGGCAATGTTTTTTGCGTGTATACAGCTGGCACATTCATTGGGTTTTCACAGCTAGCACGCCTGAAATCCGAAACTGTCTACAGATCAACTCTCATTGCCCCCTCCCTCCCGAGGGGTGGGGAGATTGTAAAGATTGGTCAAGATTGTAACGAATGGGATAAACATTAATCTGTGGAAAGAATGTAGTCGTATTTTGACACGTGTGAGGCAAAATGAATGTTTGGGCAAAACCCAATCATGATACCTATTCTGGATAGAGTGTTTGGAATGTTTCTCTATTTGGATCTATTCTGCGTCAGACCCTATGGGATTGTCAACATTCTGAAGGGCCTCTCGTTCTATAGTCATGTTTAGGTAACGATTTAAATTGTTGCTTTAGCGATCCTGGTGGGTGTGTAATCCTTTTCGTTTCATGTAACAGAGGAGCAGAAAGGTTTTCTTCTTTTTATGTACACATCGCGCCATGCTACATGTGTGCATGCGATACAAAGTTTACTTTTCGTTGCCAACTGTCTCGACTTAAATCAAATGTATATATTACCAAGTACATAAAGTAAACCATTATAGCCAAGAATTCCCTTTCTGCATCTATCCGGCAAAGATTCGAACGCTGCTCTCCAATGGCGTAGCCAAAAGACAGGGAGGGGCGCGTTGACCCCAAATCATTTGCACGTTAAGTGCCATTACTAACGACTGTGAAAAATGCCAATGAATTAGATAAGATAACAGTTTATAATAATGTAATTCTTTCTCCCTCCCCCTCTCCACACTGCCCCTCTCTCTCTCTCTCTCTCTCTCTCTCTCTCTCTCTCTCTCTCTCTCTCTCTCTCTATCTATCTGTCTCTCTATGGGCGTGTTTATGCTTCACTTTTTCTGGCCAGAATCAGGCATCTGTTACGCGTTTAGTTTAAAACACGGTTGCGTCCATGCTCACTTTTGTAGGATCACCGAAAAACGGCGATCACGATCGCCGATCGTAAACTCACAAAAAGATGCGTTTACAATTTGTAAACGCGTTTAAATGGGATCAACGCACTGACCTCTAGTGGGTATACGTAGCATGCACAGTGAAGGTTTGCGAATCCAGCTGGAAGACTAATTAAGGCCACACACGGAGAATTGCCTGGAGGAGCCAAAGAAGTGAGCATGAACAGTACACCGTGGAACTGCGATTACGATGAGCGTTTACGATGAGCGTTACAAATCGCTCATTCTACCTTCAAAATTTAAGCATAAACGCAGCCTATATCACTCTCCCTCCCTCCCTCTCCCCCCTCTCTCCCTCTCCCTCTTTATCTCTCTCTCATTTCCCCTACCCTTTCCTACCTACCTATTGAACTCGTCCAAATCTGTGGCTAAAACGTTCACGCTTATAATGATACTCTTTTTGAAGGGTGTAGGATCAACTAATCCAGATCAGAATGTTGACCCCCAAGGCAACCCATACAGGCATCCACATACCTCGCCTTGATATTACCATTAATCTATAGCGACAATCTATCAGGCGTCATGGGATTACCGACATAAGCATCAAGAAGAGTAGCAAAAAGTGACAGCTTAAGCTTATCTGCCATAGTTTACAGGAGGGATTAGAGCGCCCAGCAAGGTCACTGGACAGGTGGTTATCTCATCAACTCAGCTCTCAGTTAACATAAGAAAAAGAGGATCATGGGGGACCAATGGTCACCAATTAGACATTGTTTGTTATATAGAGGGCGCAAGTAGCTACAAGTAGTTCAGTGGGCCTTTAAATGAAACATTCATGCGTTTTTTTTTTGTATTCATAGGTATGATGGATTGCGGCTTATGACTGTCAATCGAAGCGTATATTTATAAGATTATCTGACCTTCAAATTAATGCGATACCAGTAACGATTATCCGACACCCCTTCCGAGGATCTGAAGAGGTCCGTTTTTAACATTTAAAGAGAGCATGATGGTCCCGTACTTTTTTCCTTCCATTATGGCGTAGCCCCTCGCCCCGCCCCGCCCCTATACCACAGTGCCTGATGATAAACATTAGTGACATGATACCTATCGCACAAAGTGTAGGATAAAATACGATCACAAACACTGTAACTTTAAATAGCATGAGTTTGTGCCACTTTTTAATGACAATTCTTATGAATTTCTCATTTCAGATATGGTTGTTCTGATGAGCATCGTCAGTGCGTGCCCCCTTCTGAAGACAATGCATGACTACTGATGACATCTATGTAATAATCTTTAGTGTGGTGGTTCAGGAATGCAGCACGAATGATAGATGGAATGAATTAATCTCTCTCAAATGTTGACAACGTTCGAATATTGTTTTCGACGTCACGTTCTTCAGAGAACCTGATAAATGTAAAAGGTCTCGTGGCAAATACACACTAATCATTCTAGCCTCGCTGCGGACTTTACACGGATGATTCGTTAATGGTTGGCGTGCAGATTTGGATGATGCTTCGATTGTTCCTCATGATGATTAATCAAATCGATTCAGTCGTCTCCTGCACATAATCATAGATCAACAACTATTATCGCATTGGTATTTCTCCGACGGATCATCGCGAAGATGGGGTATTAGGAGATTGGGCGACTTATGACGAGTATCTATGATCCTCCATCAGTCAAAATCTGCGAAAGGAATAGTCACGGTTTGATGATTATCCTTAAGGGATTTCAAGAAAATTTGTCGCCGTCTGCCTTCAGAAGAGTTAGAGTTTTGTTTGGATTATGTTCTGTGCCTTTTATACCTGTATTAACGGAAGTTATGAGTCATTGAGAATTAATCCCTATCAAAACAACCCGAGAGTGTCAAACCGAATTGGACAAACCTCTACAAGGAACGCAATACAAATTGTATGTTTGACAACTTTTCAATAAACTCAGCTCCTCGACAGAAGTACTTGTGTAGTCCTCTCTAGAGTAACTTTCGAAGGGAATAAGTGATCCCAGCTAACATTTATATCATATGTAGGTGACGAAAACGGTGAATGACACACACAGCCTGCAACTTACAACATTTTCGCAAAAAAGAATAATTTCATCATCGTCATTTGTAATTTTTGCTGGTTCTCGGAGTCGCCTGTGCCCCGTGGATATCAACAACACAAATCATCGCCGTGCTCTTTTGATCAACTCGTAAAATTTATGAGTGGCATACAAGCAAAACGTTGCTGATGATTTCGTGACAGACCTAGCAAGATTTTTTTATTTTTAACTTAAATTGAAGGTGTCTTCCACTTGGAGTCAGGGAATCTTTCCAACATGAGTGCTCCACAGATCTTAATCAACGGGTCCCTAGCCCAGACCGAGACCGTGCACCCCAAACTCCTCATGACACGGGACCTCGTGACGATCAAGGAGGATGAGGAGGTCGCCGGCCTCAACGAACTCAAGAAGATGACGACGCGGTTACGCCTTTCGACCAGGCGACCCTCCATCATGCAATGGAGGGAGAATCTAACGAACTTCCAACAGAACATGGCCTTGGTTAAGCAAGCTGGACTTGAAAGCGATGATAGCGGGGAAGATGAATGCGACGATGATGTCGATAGAAAATCGGACGACAGTGAGATTCTGACGGACGACCAGGAGAGGAGAAAGAAAGTCGACGACGCTATCACGTGGATTAGGCAAGAATTGGTTAGTATACTGATCTATTCATTTGTCATGTTTATTCGATAATGGCCGTTATCAAAGGCGTACAGGCCCAGTTTCATTAGGCGGGGGGGGGGGGGGGGGGGGGGTTGACGGTCTTTTGCCCAAATGTCAACATTCCACTTTTTTGTTTTTTTATGTTTCAATCAACTGTTGTTGAAATATACAAATAGATCACTACCAATATTATTATATGAGATTTGTAAGTCGCCAAATCCACTTGAAAATAAAATACTCAATGCGCACTTGTGCAAAAAATAACATCACATTAGAAGGTGGTAGTTACCCAACTGTTGTTATTTCAAATTCTGGAAGGTGGGGTTTGGGCAATGAAGCCCTCTCATCCTCCACCTGGCTTGAAGATGTTAACTTTACATCTTGTTATTAAAATGATAGAGCCATTGAGTGTATTTTGTTTAATTAATTGATTCATGTAGATTATCTATATAACGTTTGAAATGTATACGTTTCAGAATTGCACATTAGAGAACGAGCTTGGCCCATTAATATTTGATTTAGGAATTTCCCTTTACTGCTTCAGCAAATGATACTAATCTTGATGGGAAAATATTGGAATCCTTGTCGTATATACTGGAAGCCTTTTCTACAGATTTAAAGTTCAGTGCACTCTACGAATATTACCTGTCAAGTTACAAAGTAGACTCTCGTGCTTTTATATTTCATCCGAAAATTATTTAGCCACTGTCAGATAATATAAGATACTCAATGAGACACAGGCCTGTGCGTGTAATTTGGGCGTAAATGTAATAATACGTGAATGAAGCACTATTTATTAGTTATTGACGCCTCTACTTAATCATAATTATTACATGCGCTTCTTCACTTCTAAAAGCTAAATTAATGTTCTCTTAAATAAATATTGCATCATCTAAGAAAAGTTTGCCCTTTGAAGACTCAAAACGCTAATATTTAATATTTTCATAGACAATTGATAATTCATCTTGATCACAAAATCATAAGTCAAAATGACGGTAAATACATGTACGTCTACAGCACCCTCAATCTCAGATTTTTTTTGAGCAGATTTCATGATGCGGCTCCTAAATAATAAAAGTCAGTAGTGCGGTGCTGAGATATTTTCGTGCTGATGAGCAAAATTGAGAAAACACCCTCCTCGTTCTCTCTTTAAAGACACCATACATCATCACGGTGTCTGCATCATTATGTTGACACGTTACGGCTAATTGATTCGCAGCGAAATAAAAATCACTCACCGCTAGCCTGCACCCCTCATGCGTGGTCGTTTAATGTGGGGAGCAAAATGGAAGACATGATACTGGTAGGGAATAGGAAGGTTTCCATGTAAAGGGGGGGGGGGATTTTCCTAATATACCTAAACTGAACATTGTAACTTTTCGAAAGAAAATAGTACTAATGGTGAGGGAATAGATAATACAGACAAACAGCGTAGTTATACATTGTAATGATATCATTTAGCATCGCATCAATCTAAATTTGCCACTCTCTACCTGGTGTAGTAAGTGGATAAGAATACCCGGTGTAATGATAACGGTTGCTTGAGCATAATATTGGTATAACATAATTATCAAAGCGTAGTGTGAATATCAAATTACTTTTAATTCGCTATAACATTGTAAGACGTGCGTTTTATAACTTTATTTTTTTTCTCTCCAAATGAGTGCTTCAGGTAAAAAAATAAAAAAATAATAACATACACATTCATCTATGTAAATACCTTTGGACTCATTTGTCTCTTTAATTTGAACTTAAAATAAACCTTGGAGGAGTTTATAAGGAGAACGCTGACAGACAGGGCACGAGATGCTTATCACCATGGTAACGAGCAAAACTGGAGGATATCCCTTCACAGACATGAGCACTAGCCTGGGGTATTAAGGATGAGGAGCAGGAGAGGCGTGCGATGGGTGCCGATCCGTGAGAGGAGATGGGATGGGGACTCCAAAGAGGGGGTAATGCTCTTGTAGATCTGGCGCGAACGTCTATAATTTATAAAGAGACGCCATTAAACCCCGCATTAAACGTGACCATGTTTATTGCAGCCTACTGCATGGCATTTACAGGTAGCCACACATGCTTGTGATTTATAGTCGTGATGCACTACTATCAGGGGCGTACGCAGGATTTTTTCAAGGGGGGGGTTTTAAAATATTTTGCTCCCGAAAATTTGAAAATCACGCCGGCCGAAAAGTCGCTCAGTGGGGGGGGGGGGGGGGGGGGGGGGGGGGGGGGGGGTGGGGTAAGCGGACACTTTTTTTTTTTTTTTTTGGAGGCCAGAAAAAATCGCAACGACTCAGCCGGCAGAAAAGTCGCTCAGTGGGGGGGGGGGGGGGGGGGGGGGGGGGGGGGGGGGTAAGCGGACACTTTTTTTTTTTTTTGGTCTCAAAATTTCAAAATTTGACATTTTTTTACGTATGGGGGGGGGGGTAAGGTCACCTTATTTAGGTTAGCCGTGGGTATAATTTTTTTTTTTTTTTTTTTTTTTTTTTTAAATAAAAAAAAATAAATAAAAAAAAGCCAAAGGGGGGGGGGGGGGGGGGTTTTAGGTTTTTTTGGGGGGGTTTACATACATTAAAATACCAAAGGGGGGGGTTTGAACCCCCAAAACACCCCCCTGCGTACGCCCCTGACTACTATATAGTGCTGATGAATCTGGCTTGTTAGAAAAATAACAAAGATATATTGTAGAGTCAATGATAATACCTATAATGTTTCTTATACACGTTGTATATGGAGAGATCATGAGGGACATGGGAAGAAATGGATTAACTTCATTATCATCAGTTAAACAACTACGGTATACATTTGCATTTCAACAATCAATGCATAATGAGTAAGTACAATCTACTCGAGAGCCTGCACAGATCCGATTTACTCTGCTGTTCGTGTTTGCCGTTACTGGGGACGAAAGGAACACGGAACAGAACGTGATTTTTACACTTCTACTTTTCATTAAACTAGTACGGTTATTTTGTATAAGTTGCTGAAATCCTTATATTATTTTGATTGATGTGCAGAAATGGAATAGATCTGTGGCAGATGCTGTTGATAACAATTTGAATGAATATTACATAATCTATTGAATCATCTTGGGTTGTGATATGCCCCCACCCCTTCCCCTTCTCTCCCCTCTCCTCCTCCAACCCTCCCATCTAGAAATCTCAAATGTTAAATCAACATTTAAAATGGCCGAGGATTGACAACTTTATCACAATAGTATATATCTACACTCTTAACAGCATGTTATATAGTGCTTGTCTGCCATTTTAAAAGGGTTTTCACTCCTGGACCCATGCGTTTGAATGTCGATTTAACATTTTAAGTTCAACAATGTCCTTCCCCCCTCCTCCTACCCCCCCCCCCCCCCCCTTTGCTCCCACGACTACACTTTTTGGGCGGATAGCGATTTTATATTAGAGAATCTATATTATTGCAGCCCTCTGAAGGCTATAGGAAGAAGAAGCCATGCAGTTTTCATTCATGGCCACTTCCAATCATTCAACCTTCCCATCCTTCCTCCTTGTAAAGCTTCTTGAGAAACCTTAAGATGTAAGTACGACCACCCACTCCTATCGAACTTGAACATCATGGAAAGAAAGCCAGTCACGTCTAGCTTCTACGCTTCATTACTCTAATCAGACTCTCGGCGTTTTCCAACGTGGACCCAAGCATGAAAGTGATTGCAAAAACAAGTCATTTACCATCGCTTTCTGCTTGTTTTCACACGCTGATGAATATTGATCGAGTGATGATATCTGTAGGAATATATGAAGATTCTAGCTTTGATAGTTAAAGGAATTCTTGCTTCATAAAATGTTGGTGTAGCAAAATTGAATAAACAAAGCAATGTTTGTTCAGTAATTATAGTGAAGTGTGTAATCAAACATAACTAACGTAACAATGCAATTATGAAAATCAATTATACGATCATTATGTCTCGACATAAAACTACAAAATTAATTTTCAAATTAAGATTAGATTGCAATATAATTGGAAAATATGCAAACCTCTATAATATTCACGATCAATACGGCTTCAAAAAGAAGGTCATACCGTTATTTTGTGAAGAGTAGTAATTATTGATTCATATCTTTACATCCAAATAATGAGTGTGGCTGTTTTTAAGAATTGAAGATGAATCGAGCAATACTTCTAAAGAAGAATGTAACCCGTTCCACAAACTGTTTAAAAACATGATGCTAATTCAAAGGTGGATCCTGGAGCCGCCGCAATATTCGAAAACTGTTGGTGTTTCTTGAGAGGGGGAGAGGCGTTGTTGTTTTCTGTCTCTGTGGATCCGCCTACGGAAATTCTGAGAGTATCTTAGATTCTCACTGAAATTCTTACCACATTCATGAGTAGGTACGAGCTTGTCACGTGCATTACTTTTAATCTTACACGTCCTGCTTTAGCATGCACATCAAATATTTTCGAACATTCCCATTGATCATGCTCTATTTATCTTCAGTGCGATGCTTTCTGTTTGCGACCAATGTTTGATCACAATGAGATAATAAAGGACAGTACGGACCTTTCATTTTCTGAGCATGTCATGAGGGACTACTTCCTTATTGATAGTCGAGTCAGAGTCGATTTGATTATTACAGAACTTTAAATGAAACCCGAAAGAAATGACATAATGGTTACTAAAGATGAATGTACTTGTCCATATATTTTCCTGGTGTTCAGGAGTATTAACTATGAAGTATGTGACATAAAAGTCACATGAACAAACGGATGTTAATGAGAGATAAGGTGTCTGCAACTTACTTCCTGTTGATTTCGAGGGTTAATCATTATTTTGTACAACATCCTTGAATGATATATTTTTTTAAAAGAGTAAAGTTTGTTGCCAAACTTATCCCTATTTTGTCGTGGTGCGTAATGTTTTGAAAAGAGATTAAGCATTCATTACTAGTCAAATTTAAAGATCGATATTGTCGTATCAGCCTTATGTAGCATGTAAATGTCATCTCTATAGGTGTAACGTTGTATTGGAAAACTTTACATATACAGTAAACAGTGGCGTAGTGGGGTACAGTCTTTTTTATTTCGGGGACCGTAGCCTCATGGGGGAACTTGTCGCACATTGTAGATGACATTCGCAGTAACAAGGCAACCAATAGCGATAGAGAGGGTGTGAAAGAGAGTTCTATTATCTTCTTTTTCCTTCCCCTCCCCCTTCTCTCTCTCTCTCTCTCTCCCTTTCTTTCTCTCTCCCTCTCTCTTTCTCTCACTCTCTCTGTACAAACACAACAACCCTCTCGCGCACGCACCCCTTTCTCTCTCTCTCACTCACTCTCTCTCTGCCCCTATCTTCTTTTTCTTCTTTTTCTTCTCCCCCCCCCCCCCCCCCCCCCCCCCCCAGCCATTCTACTAGTTGGGAGCATGTGCTCATTATAGCTACGCCACTTCAGAAACTATTAGTTTTGCCAGTTAAAGGTACTATGTCCCTTTTGCAGCCAACCTCAAATGCTGTAGAACTTTGCAGGAATTATGAATATGTCATGTATGTCCTATCTGTGAAATTTAAACGTTAGCAGTGTCCTCATATTCAAATTATGCAAGGAAACCCGTTTACTTGCTAGACTTCACTGTCAGACACTTGAGTGACTGACTGGCTTTTTTTCTTCTTGGTAATAACATACATGAAAAGAGTTGTAAAGGGTGCATGAGCATTTGTCTACATCAATAACCCACTTCTTGTGATGGTAAACTGATTGAATCTTTGCGCAGCATAAAACGTACGACCATTCGGTACAATTGTCTGAAAATCAAGACTATTACTTTTGGGCTCTATAGCCCTAAAGTCGATTTGACAACTAATAGTCATTATTTTCCCACTTGAAGACATTTTCAAGCCCCACCTTTTTTAGGTAAGTTCTAAATTAGTATTATCTTTCAAATGCAGTTGGAATTTAACTTTTTCATTTTTTTGGCCTGCAAATGGGACATAGTACCTTTAAAAGAAGGCAATTGAACCCTTTCCTATAGATGATTAAGAGAGCATGAACAGGTTACCGTCAGACAAGGTTCACTGTCATTCACAGGGAAATGTCAGCAAAAATTATTTATTCGAATTGAATCTAGAACAATCGGAGAATTTATATTGGGTTAGGTTGATAATCCTGCCGTCAAATTAAGCGATATCACAACTTCGTCATATGCAATGAACTTTGATCTCAGCCCAATTATTTATATATATTTGAAATTCTCCTTCTTCTCAAATTTCATTTTCTTATTTAGAGAGAAAAATGATTTGCTTTTAAAATCGAATTCCACAAGTCAATTCTAGTCTCAGTCAGTGTAACAGTGTCTCTCTTAAAGTGAAATATCACAGCTATGGTTTCTCTTGTTTTTTTTAAATTTCATTTGCAAGCTTGCGCTTTTGGGGGAGCTCAGTTAAGATAATATGTAAACAAACAAATCAATCAACTTATCAATTAATCAATCACTCAACCAACCAATCTAGCAATCAAATAAATCATGTGAGTATTATTACTTCATTGCATTTATAAATAACAAGACGTTTGTCTTGAATTATCTTTCACCCTTGGCAGAGCCTAAACATTATCGCATATTTCTATATTTATTCAATACTCTATCGGAATGCGTTTCCACCGTCTCACGCGAGTAACGCGTTGATCTAAACGATAAGTGAAAAGGGAACCAACCTCCACAATACGGAACGCCCCCTGCACCCCTCTACCTCTGGGAAACGGGATATGAACCCCCGTGTAGGGGGGCAAAGCGGGTCAACCAGGAGGGGTCCCCGGGGTCAAATACATTTTGGGGTGCTGTTGCTTTATTTTCACCATAGGGTAGTTGTTTTTCAGCATGAATGTGATACGTGTTGAATGACACGTATTCAGAGGTTGCGGTACAGGTCTAAACTGCAGGTGTATTGTTGAAGCTAGATGGAATAATCCCTCGGAATATTTTCGTTTTGTCTGCTCACACACACCCACTCGCATACATGTATGATCATATTTCGCTTTGATAAAGAATATTTGGCCTTATTCATATAGTCACCATTATGATTGCCATAACATTTTGAAATATGCTTCCTCCATGGTCGTAACGTCTCTATATGTGATATTGTTCTTCCTTCTTCCTTCATCTATTTTTTTTTCTTTAGTAATATTATTCTATAGCTTTGCTCTTTTCATTCTGCTGATCTGATTTTGCACTGCATTACCTAATAACTTAATTGTTCATTGAGGTCCCAGGCTTCTCCTCTGTAGTATTCTTTCCTATTTCTCATAATCTGTCTTCTGTTTCAGTTCTTCATCTTCTAATCTTGATGTTTTTTTCACTCATGAAACTGCTGCTGACACACTCAGCAAATATAAAAAGGACAAAATCTTTATCAATTATGAATTTAATCTATATTTTTTGTTAAGCCATATTTCCTTTTAGTATCTATTCCTTAGCAAACAGGCGATTCTTTCCAAAGAAATATACCAAACTTTTAAATGCTGCTCAAAATTAATGTATTATCAGCTTTTTTCTGCAGAAAGGGACATTTTGAATACGTTTGAAGGTGTAAAGTGAAAATGCATTCTAGCATTAACGTTGTCTTTGTGTTGTCTATTATGTGCAACCTATGTTTTGAGAGATGGCCCGGTATGAAACCCTGAAATCCCCGTTTCACAATGATCAAACAATGTCTGACAAGCATGATCTGAAAAGTAATTTCTACCAGCCCCTGATTATTCTTCTCATTTCTATGCGTAACAAATGCAGTTCAAAAGGTTGAAAACGCTTAGGGGCAAAGACTAACAATGCTTCAAATACATTCATCATTGTGTTATGTCAACACGAATGCCAGACTTTCGAGGATTACCAATATTTATGTTTTGTACTATTCCAAGATTAGTATTGATGCCTAGAATGTTAGGGAATTCATTTTGGAATGGCTCCTATAAGCAGGCCAAATAAAACAGCCGATTATGTTTTCAACATAAGTTCCGTATCCAACTGCTGAGAATCGATAGTACGCGTAATAAAAGTTCTCGGACCGGGGCACTTCCCGAATTCGAGAAAAATGAAAAAAAAAGTCAATATACTGTCATCAGAGGCGTAGCGTGGGTCCAGTCATTGGGAGGGGGCTCGCCATTATCGGAGTTTGGGCATCGCTATTATTAAGTAAATGAAGATGAACATTAACACGGCCATCGATTTTTGACGGAGGGTGCAGGAATATATCCTAGCACCTTTCGTGTTTCTCTTTTTCTCACTTTCTGTCTTCCCCCCCCCCCTCTCTCTCTCTCTCTCTCTCTCCCCTCTCTTTCTTTGCATTTCTTTGCATTGAATTCGATTGGGGCACGCATCCCGTACTTTCTGTAGCTAAGCTATTGTGATCATTATAAACATGTATGGAGAGGAATATAAAGGGAAAGCATCATCGTGTGAATTAACTAGTGAAGGAGACACAAAACGAGGAAGATAAAACGAGAGTAATTATGAACAGCTTCAAATAAAAAAAAATGGAGAAAACAATGAAGAACAGTTGAAGCAAAGGGGTGTCTGTGTATGGATATGGAAGAGGAAAGAAGAGAGCACAAAGGATCAAAGACATTATTTCATTCTAATTAATAACTAACTAATTTCTCTCTCTTGTCCTTTTTTGTTGTCCTCCCCAGATTGCAATGAAGACACAGGATCACCAATTGGCCATGCAACTCATGAAGCTCCGGGGAGAAATACAGGCGCTCAAACTACAGAAAACCAGCGACGATCATCGAGAGCTGATAGAGGACGCCCGCTACAGCATGGTAGAGGAGAGTGTGGAGCTCAAGAGCGCGCTCTTTGATTTGCCTATGAACAATAACTTCTACCCAATCGGGGAGGATCCATTGAAAGACATTGGGGTGACCCGGATGAACTTGAATAGTCGGAGATTCTCATTACGATAGCCGAGTTTATACGATTGGCTGACCTGCAGGCGTGTTTGGTCACGTGACTTTTATTGCAATAATGACCGAGTTGCACTGCCTGCTTCCGGGGCCTGCTTGCCTGCCGTAAATGAAAAACCATATAGATTGTCATAAAATTATAGTAATGAAAATATAATAAACTTTACGGTAACCTTGGATTGATTCATATAAAGCGAAGGAATGCCTCTTCGTTATGAGATAATTTGCAGTGGATCTTCCCACATCAGAGACATGGAGACAGAAAGGAGGGGACCAGAAAACGAACATTATATTGAAAACAGACATAATTTTATCTTTATTATTTTAGCGCTCTTTTAATGGACGACGATTTCATTAAGTAATAACTTTCCTGACCCTAAAACATCACCAAGTATCATCTTCGAGCCAACATATGTTTTGTCTTAACAGTGGAGTCCCTCTCTAAATCCCCTGAAACAAAATACGGTACTACAGTATATGCAAATATTGACGATTCAATTTTCTACTCAACAGCATGACACAGTGTACCTATATACGCCCATTCGCGAGACCGACAATACCGTTCTAGAGAACCTTCTGCAAATTTATCCGAAGGCCCCACAGACCAACGTGTTGGCGCCGTGGGTTGTCTGTCTATACTTGGATATCCCACACAGTGCCTAGACTGAATAACAGTTCCAATCACATTTTACTTAAACTCGATGGGTATTTTTAATTCTAATAATTGCCTTTGTATCTATCAAAAACTTACCCAGTACGAATAAAGATGACAGATTTAGGGCAAAACATGTGACATGGACATGGAGACATCGTATATTACACATTTTGAAATTGTTTTAGTAATTCAGCATTTTGACGAATGAAGACAAATTCTAGTTGTTTAAATGTTTTTATTGTCTTCCTCGCGTCGTTATTGAGCAAGAATATGGTTCATAAAGCTAATTCTTAAACCGAGTGTAATGGGGGGTTTTTTTCTCATTATTTATTGTGTTAAATTACATAAGGAAAACTGTATTGTGTTCTCAATCGACATTTGTTATTAATGAGTGCATTACTAAGTAATTTGATATTTTTTAAAGGTGACTTATTATGTGATAATGTTTGTCTGACGATTGATCAGATTTAGTACGTCAAAGATCAAATATTGATATATTTGCTTTACTTTGAAGTGGTCCATTTGATATAATCTTCCATACTTGCTAGGTTTTTTTATTACTTAGTAAATGATATTGATATCAAGATAATTCCTCTTTCCGCGTTAAATTCGATGAATTGTGAGAATTTTATCTGATACTCTGAGCATTGTACAGTACTTTACTGTGCTTTTAGTTTCAACCGTTACACGTTTTACAATGGACACGGTTTTATAGATGCAACACAGTGTTGGTTAAAAAAAAAGGATTGCCACTGGTGAATTCCTTGATAACCAATCATTTAGGATCTACCTCTGTATAATGTGTTATTTAATTTGGAAAATGTAACAAGAATGACATCGCTTGTTGGTCCATAATGATTATGATTAAAATTCACATCTTCCAGTCTAATGTTCAATTTTTATATAAATTAAACGGAGTCGGGCTAACTCAGACCAAAAAAAACTCGGCCCAGCTGCAAAAACGGTCAGTTTTGCAGGTTTAGGGTTAGGTTTAGGGTTAGGTTTAGGGTTAGGTTTAGGGTTAGGTTTTGGGTAGGGTTTTGTTTTAGGGTTAGAGTTAGGGTTATGGATTTTTGCAGCTGGGCCGAGTTAGCCCAGATTCGAATTAAACAACTATTTGATATTATGGTTGGTGGACATTCCGAAATAGGTAGCGATAGAAACAATGATATTGGTCTGCAATTAAGGATGACTATAGGCATACTGCTATGGCGTGTATACTGAACTTTCTAGAGAGTATAGGCCCGTTTATATCAAGACGATGAGATGATTTAAATTCATGATATGAATATGATCAGTGACAGCATAATGTCCATTCAAAGAGTATTATTGTTTGCTTCAAATGTAAATAACGAAAGGTCATGTTATGTCTGGTACATATTGATTGGTCATTTGCTATTACTTATACTTATAGTACTTCTCATATCTTTGTACTTAGGGGGTAACCCTTAATCAACAATCAAAATCTTTAAAAACTTGGAAAAGTGGTCGTTTACATTGTATCCCTCCCCCTAATGTTTTACAATTGGGAAGGGGGTGATACCCCTTTCCCCGTAATTCGTCACTGTCCTACAAAGTGTGCTGAGTTGATTAGATTTTTCTGACTTCATAAAGACGTCAAAAGTGATAGAACGTCACAACCTGACGAAAATTGACGCCATGTTTTTTCTTAATCCCGTACTAAAAACAGAGGTGTTCAACCGAATGCATTTTTTCACTGAATGATTATAAACGATATGTTATGGTGGGGGAACGCACAACGAAAACTGACATATATTTTTATAGTGATCTGTCAAAGTGATACCAGTTTGAAAGATAAACATCAACAAAACTTTTGAAAAAGTACCTTTATAATATCTACCAGATTTTTATTCAGAAAACATTATATCTTTGTATGAATTGTAAGCAGATTTTATTTTTTATTAATTGATTATCAACTAGGTTTTGGTGAGGAATATGACATTTTACAGTTTGCAAACTTGACTTTATGAAATAAAATCTGACATTACTATAAACGAAAGTGTGCTTTCTTGTATTTTGATAAACATGTCCTTTGTCGAGTGAAGATTTATAATAGAAAAAATGATATGAAGCTTCGATCAATTTAAAGGAAGGATGTGTATAAATTATGATAATTGAAAATTAAAGTTTAAATTGATTCGATATTATTTAAAGGTAAGCGTTACTACTGCAGCTAGAAGGGATTAGACCACACAGCGAGCCAACGAGGTCACTGTGACAGGTGGCTATCTCATTAACTCAGCTCTCATTTAACATAAGAAAAAGAGGATCATGGGGGACCAACGGGCACCAATTTGGGAAGTTTTCTATATAGAGGGAGCAAGTAGCTACAAGTAGGACAGTGTGCCTTTAAGTTGAAGAAATATGTCTTTCTGACATGTAATACAATCTTTCCAGTTATCTAAAGCTCGTCTCAATCCATGCATTGCATAATTATTCCGGTCAATTAGTTCTTTTGTCCTTCGTGGAGATGTAACTTCAGTTCACATAAATTATTTCCAAATTTTGGAAAAAAATAAAATAATAAATCGTTAGATCATGAATAATCGAATATCATAGAGCTAATACTTGTTCGTTAACATTACAAAAGTTTGAAGAATAATTATTACTTTTTTGATCCACCATTGCTTCTCTTTCCATTTACCCCCTATTTCATCTGATTTGTCCTTCTCTCATTCAATCCTTCTTTCTAATTCTCATCCGAGCCATCCTCCTTCCCCCTCGCATCTCAATAATTTTACTACTTCCTTCGGTTTCCTCTCTTTTACATCTTAACTCTTTCTCCTTATCCTTGTTCTTTCCCGATCCTTCTCCCTTTCTTCTCTTCCTCCCTCTCTCATCCTGTCACTTTGCCTCCTCCCCACTTCTTCATCTCCTCCTTCTTCTCCTCCTCCTCCTCCCTCTATTTACATCCTTTCTTGATTGAATTTGAAACAGAGCATCCAATATACATGAGATCAATAGCTATGAGAATAAGTAGATTAATAAAAAAAACAGGTGACCGAATGGAGCTCTATGCGTGTCTTTGTGGGCCACTATTTATTATAGGTGATTCTTCTCGGGTATAATTATATAGGCCGTTTTCGTAATGTAGTCAAATCCACGCATGAACCTTTGTTAATTGCCTCATTACAAATTATTTCATTGACCTGTTACTAATAATTTCATTTCAATAGTAAGAATACGAATCTCATACCTTACGTGTTGCTAGGTAAGGCAGGCCAGTTATTGTTTATCCTTTACCTAGCAAGCAAACTAATGTATGTAAGTTAACCATACCACCGTTACGGCCTCCCCCTAAGCTCCCCAATAGACGTCATCTAGGACCCACACCAAGCTTTGCTTCCCTATTATCCAATTTTCACAATTTTTAAATTTTCCCGCCTGACTTGAGATTGCTCCTTCCCATGCCTGAACCCCACCCACCCCATCCCGCCCACACCCCTCAACACACATTCTCCTCCGACAAACACCAGCTAGAGCCCACTCCAAACCTTGCATCCCTAGGACCCAATTTTCATTCTTTAAAAGGCAGGCTTTACTACTTCAGCCAGAAGGGATTAGACCACCAAGCGAGCCAGCGAGGTCACTGCGACAGGTGGCTTTCTCATTAACTCAGCTCTCATTTAACATAAGAAAAACAGAATCATGGGGGACCAACAGGCACCGATTGGGGAAGTTTTCTATATAGAGGGATCAAGTAGCTACAAGTAGGACAATGTGCCTTTAAAAAATTCCCCGATCCCGCAAATTCCCCGGTAGGTAGCAATTATAATGAAACGCCCAAACCCCGCCACTACCCCCTCCCCACCGCTTACACTCCCTCAACTTCGTTCTTTCTTTGTGGAGCTTGAGACTGCATAGAGCCAGAGAGAGGGAGAGGTAGGTATTAAAGGAGCAATGTATGAGATAGGGAGATGAGCGACACGAGAAACATGAGAGAGAGAGAGAGAGAGAGAGAATGGGAGAGTTTCGTCATGTCGATTGTAACATGAATACAAATAGTAAAATGATAATGAAAACAAAATAATAATGATAATAAATTAACAGGATAACCCATGAAGGCTGAATAGTTAATAGGAATTTTTGCGTCACTTAACCCTTTGGCTACTGAATTGTCTAATTCCAATAGGCTTCACACAGGGACCACCAGGTTCCAGTAAGCAATGGGTTAAGAACACACTTTTTTTCTTCATTTTATATACAGAAATGTATAAAGGGAGAGGGAGAGAGAGAGAGAAAGAGAGAGAGAGAGAGAGAGAGAGAGAGAGAGAGAGAGAGAGAGAGAAAACGCACAAAACATTTAAAAATATTTTCATTAAAAACTGTTCTTGCTTCTTCATTTCAATAACTTATGAATGTATTTTTGTTATTATCTTAAAGATAATAACAAAAATACATTCATAGGTGTTTTACAAATTAATAACTTCCATACAAAACATCTTTACTTGTAAGTTTCGTAACAACCTAAAATTCCAAAGGTAAAATCAAGTTGTTAATACCTTTTTCGGTGGCAGCATCGATAAGGTTGTTGCCCTTTATAAACCGTCTCCTCATTCATGCCTTGGTATTTTTAAAATGTCTGTTTTATACAAATTGTGTAAATGTATTTTGTTTGAATACAAATTAATGAATACATGAAGTAAAATGAAACAGGGGACAGGAGGACCGTCAGCTAAAGGCTTTTTTGTAGCTTACCATTCTATTAACAGCAACATGTGTACAGAAAGATAATGATAAGTATTTTAAGGATAATAAATTCATGAATATGGTACGTTATGTTATAATATTTGTGCATCGCATTGCCGGAAATCACCTGTTTTCTCAAAATTTTACAAGCGATTGAAGCGAGCGAGTATGATAAAAATCACTTTACAGTGGCAAACAAATTCATTTCAAAATAATAGTACACTAGATAAGTGTCTGAATATGAGGATATTCTGGCACCTGGCTGCCCAAAGATGAGGTGATGGTTGCTTGAATGTTAGAACTTTAAAAGTCATGGGGTGGATGCTGCAGCACACCCCCCCCCCCCCCCCACCTCGCTCCTCGTACTCATATGCATGTATAGACAATTAAACGAAATACACAGACTGGCGACTGCAGTCATTGATGTTTGAGTGCAAGACGCGAGTGCAACAGCCCCCCCCCCCCCCCCACCCCCACGCCCCATCCACTTTGAAAAACGTGACGCCAACCCGAGTCCAAGGGTTCGAATTCCAGCCCGTCACTAACGTTCTTTGGAAAGACATTAATCCACATTGGCAACTCTCCACCCAGGTGTATGTGGGCAAGAACAGCATTAATGCTGACTTCCCTGGGTAAACAAAGTGACTATTAGTCCATGGGCCAAGACCAGAAATTTGGGTTATTGGTACCACTCAAGGTGGCAAGATCTACTTATGCATTTTGAAATGCCCTATATCTATACATAATATTTTGATATGATAGCATTTCCGAATGTACAGCTTAGTCATATAATCAGCAGTTTCCATGGCAACACTAGACTAAAACCGGTATTATTCAAAGAAACAGTTAAAGTCATTTAAAAATTATAAAAACACTTTTGAATGCGTAAAAATGTACAGTTTAGAATACCTCACCATAAAGAAAAGCAATGAAATGCAATTTACATTACCATTTATAACGGTTGCCATGGTAACGACCCCAGAATGGCCTAAAATCAAGGATTTTGGAGTAATTTCAGTAATATATTACACAATATACTCATTTAAGACAAGTTAAAGTCCCCTTTCCAAAATAATGACACAACTATATGACTAATACATCATATCAGCCAAGAATATGCTATATAGTACATTCCCATTGTTACCATGGCAACATGAATTAGAGTTAACAAGATGCCCTGTATGATACTATATGCCATATTTTGGCTATATTTTGGCATTGGAGAGCTGTTGAAAGTTTATTTTGGTGTCTATACCCAGGTTTTCAGGCCCACAGAATAAAAATT